GGCATTGGTATGAAAAGGTGTATAAACATATCGGGGTCATTCAATTATTTGATCCCAACATGGATTCAAATCATGTAAAATATGAATCCATATGATTGAGACATTTGTTGGGATTGTTTTATATTTATCTTATAAGTGGATGTATAGTAATAATGATCATTATAATAGAAATAATAAGAAATATTAGGTAATTACTTAGCTTTATTGTAATTAAAATGTACATTGCAAATATACTCTCAATTTAAATTACTTTTAATTATTTTAGCCTAGTAAACAGTATCAGTATCTCAAAATTGTCAATATCTTAATTAAAATAAATTTCTTTATTATTATTATTTTAATAATAGTTTTACATTAATTGCATTATATTATTTGTAATAAAATACAAAATAATGTACAGTAGTAAATTTAATTGTGTTTGCTGCCATTTTATGTCAGCTTTGTGATTGTTATTCATACAGTAATTAATTCATAATTAATAGTATAATAAATATTCAAAAGCAACAAATTCATTCATATTAAATAACAGGTGCTCTGACTCTCTTTATCATCATCATCCAATTTAATAGTATCAAGGTGATCGACACCATAGTATCCGACATCGTAATAGAGTTCAAATGCAAAATACTCTGAACAAGAGAGTGTGTACGTAGAGGACAGTAGTGTCTGAAAGGACTGATCGCTGTTTTTCTCGAGCGTTGATTTGAGACCATTGTTGGCAAACACGGGAACCGTTTCGCAGCTCAAGAGCAGCCATTTGTACGGTTCCTGTGCTGTCCGCCACTCATCCCTTCCCATGAAGTCATTGATTGCATATTTAATTTCTGAATAGTCCTTATGTAAGACAAACACCCGGTGCTCGAGGTATACGGGCGGAGGCGGTGGTAGCGTTGAGCTGATAGGTATGTCTGCCGACACCTCCCGGGGTTTGGTATACACTATGCGAAGGATTCGTATGAAATCTCCGGTCCCTCGCGTGACGGACATCCGCTTAATGTCAATCGATACCACTATTAAGTATAATATGGAAAATATTATCAAAATTTTTATTAAAATTAAATGATAACAAAATATATATTTACTTGACTTGAGTTTCACATCCAATGACATCGCACTACAAAAGTTAATCTCCGGGTTTTCGGACAACCATTTTGAGGCATTCCGTAATACACAAGACTGAGACTCGAACTTAGGTTTCCTAAACACACCCCCTTCCAGATACTGGGGCACAAAATCAGCCAAACCTACCTCCTCCTCATGTATGGGTCCCAACACATAGAAAACTCTCAACACGTAGACAATCCTACCCACCCATGGG